CGATAGTATTTATAACATCAATACACTTTAAATTTGTCAGTGGAAACTTTGATATTTCCGGATTCTTATTTCCATCAAACGACAAGATGAATTAGAAAAATAACAATCGATTTTTTGGTGGAAAACAGCATATAATAATAATAATAATAATAATAATTTAAAATATTAAATTACTACAGGGGCCTCTTTATCATTCTCTTGTGAGTTTGAAGCAGCGTTCTGATCTTTTGAAAAACTGTATATAGCTCTACGCAATGATAAATAATCCGTTGACAATAATTTTTAAGCACATGTGTGCATTTCGATACATCTATATAATTGGTTAAATGACGCCTGATTATTAATTTCTGTTTTTATAATTCATTGTAATGATTTGTGAAATTAACTTTTTATATATTTTTAGCTTCGTTGAGTAACTATATTTAAAATATTATTGAAAATATATTTAATTAAATATTTTGCTACTTTCCAATAAACAAGACTTGTTACCCTGATAATATTTCCATAAAATTAAGTCCACTGTTAATATGCCCAATTCTTAAAGTTTATTTTACACAGTATTTATCAATCGAAACTTCTTAATTAATTAATTTTTTTTTTTTTAAATTCAATTAATAAGATAATTGCTTCAATATACTTAATAAAGTTATAAATGCTTAATAAATATAATTAACATGAAAAAAAAAAAATAATAAATAAATATTTTTTTTTAGACTGATTTGTTTTGTAGGAAGATGTCTTGTGATTATTGGTATGGTTTTAGCTTGGGTTTAAATGTTTTGTTTTTTCACCAATTTTGTATCAATAATAATAATTTTTCAACTCTAGTTTTATTTAGGTTATTTTTGAAGTTTTTATATAGGTTACTACTTATAACCTATATAGTTATGATTACTAATATATTGATGGGTTGAAAAATCTTGTTTCATTGTATAATAATTGTTTGTTACTTATATAAACCAAAATGTTTAAAAATTATCTTAAATGAAAATTTAAACACACACATTGCAAATTAACCAACATGTTTTATTTTTATTTTAAATATAAATTAGATCTACTAACACTTTTTTTTGAAATTGATCCATTAAGCTGTTAAGTTCCAGAATACTTAAATTTTAGTATGAAAGTAAGCCAACTATTGTTTGAAAATTAAATTATTATCATAACTTAATATATTTTAAATAAATATAAATAAACCATAGAAATGTACGAGTATACAATGTACCTATTGCGTAATTGTGTATAAATTAATAATTAAGTTTGAAGTTATATAATAACCATATTATTAGGTTATTATTAATTTTTGTATTTTTGATTATATTAGTTGACATGGTCCGCATTTTAATCATAATTTTTATTTTTAAATTGAATCGAAATAATAGATATCAACATTTTTGGATATTATCTATTCATACTTTTAAAAAGACATTACTTCAGATGAATTAACTTTTTGAACTGTTTTCAAAAAAATTTTATTTATAAAAAGTATTCGATTTTTGGAACGATAATATTTTTAATGTTATCATAATATTAAAAACATAATATATGCATCAAAACTGGTATAGCGTAAGTTTTAAGATAAAAATTTTTTTTCCACATTTATATTATTTAGGACTTGATAGTATTAAACATATATTTTAACTATTTATTTTTTTTTTCGTGGGATAGTTAATAGTTAGTTTGAAACCCGAAGTGATTCTACAGATTAAACTTTTAACCGCTAAAATCGTCAAGTTTTGCATGATAATAGTTTGAAGTTTTCGAAGTCCTAATCATGGCAATTAATAATTCATCACATTATTAGAATACAAATAAATAAAGCTACCAAAGAATTGGATAAATTACTTATCATTTTATGTGTCTATACAAAATTCGTATTAATTATTAGTTGTATAAATATTGATGATTTTTTTCTTTTTAAATTTAGAATAATAAAACTTGATTTAAGCTAAATTAATTATAGTATTAAAATTTTATACTCCCGCAAATAAAATAAATAGAAAAAATTAATTGTTTTAGCTTAAAAACGTGATTTTGTAGACTAATAATATTACTCTTGATTTTTGTAAAATTTTTTTACTCAACTATTTAATTTTGATTTTGAATAATTCAGCATTTTAATACAAAAATATTATATTTAATCATAGCTAATACATTTTTTATTAATTTTTTTAACTATTAACAATTAGAACATTTTTTTTTTTAAACAAAATTTAATAATAATATCGAATAATAAAATTAAATGTTATCATCTCAAATTTTAATACGAACGCAATAAATAATTCGAATTTTATGTTTCTTATATTAATAAGTAGATGTAGGGATATTAAAATAATATGCTTCTGTAGAAATTAATAATAGATTAATAAAACATTTGAAACTAATTGGCACTTTATATAATTAATACGATTTGCATGCCAATAAATTTGATTAAACCGTTCGCTATCAAATAATACAAAAAAAAAAAAAAAAAATGTGAGTTATAAAATAGGATTGCATTGATTTATTAATAATTTTATTTAAAATAATGTTAACGCAATCAAACATTTAGAAATGAATAAACTTAAATCATTTGAGCTTTTAATTTAAATAACAGATATAGAGTTTTAAATTAAACAAATTGCAAATTTCAAATAAATGAATACTATTAAGTGTAGTAAAAAAAATTTATTATATCATGTTATTCAAATTCAAACTTTCAAAATAAAAAACAAGGTAGAAAAATATATATAGTATTTACTATTTAATATATTAATAAATAATTTTATTGTTTATGCAACTAATTAACTGAAAGCGAACATTTTGAATACAACTTTTCGCGGCGATGTATATCATAAAAAAAAAAAAAAAAAAAAATAATAACATATGTATAGAATATAGATAGAAATAATAAATAGCATAATATAATACTGATTTGAATAACATTTTTATTTATTAATTATAGAGTTGTTAATCTCTTCCAATAAAAACTTGGTACTTGTATTTATTATAATAAAAGAATGATACTTAAGCATGATGGTTTTTAATAATTTTGCACTGAAGTCGAACAATTTAAATACTATTTGTTGAAATAAAGCAAAACTAATTATTATCACATTATTTGTAATATATACTTTTAGTCTAGTAGTGCATTAATAAATTGCATTTCGTCCTTAAAGTATTTTTATTTATTATTTGTCAATTTCTTAAATTGGAAGTAAATAAACAATAAAAGCATCATCAAAGATTATATGAATATTAGGTATTACAATTTTTCACTTCCGTAGCATATCATTATGTTTTTTATCAAAATCAATATGTATCATATTATAATTAACTAATCAAATTTTTATCGATAATTTTAGAAAACAAGATCTACCTATTAAATAGCCCGCATAAGAAAATATAACAAAGATGGTATTACAATAGGCTATTTTAATACCAATAATATGACCAATCCAAATAATTTCAAAGCAATGATAAAATTTGCATAGTAATATTATGATGCCCGTAATCTAGACAAAAATTTGGATTTAAGAAAACACCATGTATATTTTATCGTTATCACCGTACAATACTACAACAATCATTTTATAAAGGAAACATTATAAAATAAATAATAGGTAATTTATTGTATTTATAAAATAAATACATAAATATATCTTAATTTTAGTAATATTTACTAAGATTATTATTAAATCAATTATAAAAATAATTTTTGTAGATAAATTTAATTAATCCATACTGACCATACTGAAAATAACATAAAATATTACTTTGCAATAATAGAACACGCCGTTAAGGTTTTAAAAAAAAAAAAAAAAACTAAAATTAATTAAGATTAAAACTTGTATAAATTATTATATATGTTATTTATACAAACAACATAAGTGATTGACATTTTTTTTCTAATGGTAATTTAACTTAATACATAAAAATTTACGTTTTTGAAAATTATTTTCATCTCGATAAATACAACGAAAAAATAAAACAATAGCAATAAAAACACGAATAAATAATAATGAATGCGATGAAATTAGTGAGGATCCTCTAGGGAAAAATTCTTGTATAACAATTTGTTTTCTCTGCATGTATAGAAATTCATTGTAACAGCGTAATAAAATAAAATTATATACGTATTTCAAAACATGATAGTATATGATAATCATCTCGGAATAAACGAATAAATAATTTTGTCCTTTAAAATGTTCGGGTTTTCATTTGATTAATGTTTGTTCATCAACGAATATAAATGTTTATCTTTTTTTGGGGGTACATGAATTAATACCACTCCCTACTTTTACTATTTCTGTTCATATTCGTTACAAAATGTCCATGTACATATAGGGTTGTTACAAGTTAACATTTAGGTCGGATGAAAATAATGACATTGCAGGTCAGATATTATGTTTGTTGGCATTGAAGTACACTGTAGGGTCACAATAAATAGAAAATTGTAATGAACAGAGATGATTGGCGAATAATTTAAGTTTCAAAGTTTTATAAAAGTGTTCAATTGTGTAAAAACTAAAAATATATCTTAAAATTTAAATAATTAGTAGAAAACCTCTTTGTTAAACAGTAGTTGTCGAGTGTAGCTCGTTATTAAAGAGTAATTTACTGTAATGTATGTGCTAATTTGAATTCAATGATTGCATACAAAAAACATAAATATAAAATCAATATTTTTATCGTTTCGTTCGGAGCTTAAAACGTGTATGTAGATGATTACTGGGAGTTATTGAAAAATAACGTGGTAAATAATTTGGGACTTTTTACTAAAATATAAAAATAATCCTTGTATGACAATTTTGGACTATGGTGGAAATTTAATTTTAATCGTTTATTAACGGCACAGATTGTTGACGAAAACATTTTAAAAACTTTTAACCATCTCTATATTGAACAAAATACACGTCTTTTGCAGATCAGCTTGTGCATTTTTGTTTTAAACTTCACTATACACATTACACAAAGAACGAACAATCGATTTAATTCAATATGTTGGCATTGACACTTACCTGTGGCTAGTTGAGCGTGGTGAAATTGGCACACTGCATCGGCTTCAAACCATGTCACTCTATCTCTGAAATGTCGATAAAATACCGGAAACTCGTTTTGAGGCAGCAACCAAGAACTACTGATGTTAACCTAGAAAACAAAGTTCGTTTTCGGTTAGTCTGATATAAACGCTGAGGCGATGGTATTAAAATAAAACGATAACAATACGATAAAATATAAATAAATGTTTGCTGTAGTGTTTACACAAATCAATAATAAGTTATAATTTAATATAATTATTATTTGTTTAATTTTTGTTGTTTATTTATAAAGTTTTATAGAAAATTTATAAAAAAAAAGGCGAGCAAGCGGGCACCATTTTACTGTATAGTAGGTATCGAGTAGATTCACTTAATGAATGTGTTAAATTTAAATTGAATGATTTGAGTATATCATTGTATACGAAAAATAATTTTGAGTGAAAATGGTTTGTCTGACTTTGTTATCATTGAGTATATATTATAGAATTATGTTTTTTAGAATTGTTGTTATAGTTATTTATTTTGTTTTAGAATTGTTTACTTTAGACTACACAAAATACCATCTAATTCAAATTTGCTACCAAAAACTTATCCTAAGAAATTGAAACATTTCTACTGTCCTAAAAAGTGATGACCGTAGACACAAAAAAAAACATCATTCAGCACATCATATTAAAATCAATAAATTCATCGCTACGCTCCGTTCATAATCTAAAATATTGCGCCAATTAGGTTATCGAATATTATTTTTTCTAATGACAATTTATAACTAAAATTTTGAATTTATTAATAAGTTTATTAGGTATTTATTTTAAAATTGTAAGTGCAAAAAATAATCTAATTCTGGTATATATGTTACTTATTATTATGCATCATTTTGAAAAATAAATAAATAGCATGGTCTCGTGATATTGTTAACTTTAAATGAAGTGACATATTGTTTCCGCTAAACTACTAAATAGGATATCATCACTAATTTTTGATAGATGCGTTTTTACACTAAAGATTTCAATGGTACAATGTTTTCTTAATACAATACTTCATTGATGAAAAACAAAAAAAATAAAACGTTTAAAAAAACTAAAAAGATAAAACCGATATGGAAAATATGTAGTATTGTTGTAATACACTATAGTTCTTGGATATTTAAATAATTGTTGAGCAACTGACTAAATACGGGGATTTTATTATTATTTGCTAATACCTAATAACAAATTAGCAGCGTTTTACTATAAATTTAATACTGATTAGTTTGTTCACATTAAACTTGGTGCCATAATTATGGGTATATATTTTAATGAAAATAAAACAATTAAAAGACATCTAAGAAAAACTTATTGTTTTAGCGTTTTACTTAAATGTGTAGAGGTCGTATTATGCCCAAACAATCATATAATATCATTCTATGACTTGATGAAAAAGTATTAGCTTATAGTCTATACCTATACTATGTTTGTTTTTAATATTTTCCAAGCCATAGAGTTTTAATTTTTTTGTTGTCTTGTATTTTAGGAATCAGTTAGTCAATTTTTTGTAATTTTAATTAACTATAAATATATTTTAATGTTTAGTAAATAATGTATTAAACATTATTTTCAAATTAGAATCTCACTCCCGAGAGACCCACAAAACAATCTAACAGTCAAATTTTGTGTCAGATGTCGTCGTCAATTTATTGTTAAATAAGCGTCAAAATTGAATGAGACGTTATTTGACAAATGTCAAATTTAATTTGTCTAGTCTGGGTCTCATCATACCAGAGCATTGTTATTATTATCTGGCCGTGCGCCATACACAATTATTAAAATATGGTTTTCCAGAGTATTGTTTTAATTACTTACCGTTAACAGTTACCACGTTAATGATTTGAATTCTATTGAAATTATTATACCTAAGTTATCCGTTTTCATTATGCACATTTATGAGGACAAATATTACATATAATACACCATGTTATCAAATACTGTGTGAAATATTTACTTAAAAATAATATTTTCAGGTTTATACTTATGTAAAATAATAATAGTTAATATTTTGGTGAATAATATTTAACACCGTTTAAAACTATGTCGAGAAAAATGATTTTATAATTTAAGAATTTCGGTTATTTTCAATTTATACATTTATCCCGATAAAAAATATATACAAATAGTAAACTTGGTTAGATTAAAAAAAAATTAGAGATGCTCTATTATACAAATTAAAAGCTAAATAATCATAGTGGTCTTGTGTGTTATGAATTTCTGTTTTGTGTATTTATCGTTGAACCTAGAGTACAGTCATTAATTGTAAATATTTATGGTACCGTTAAACAATGAAATAGTTGTACAATATTAGTTTATGATGTTAACACAACTATACAAGCCGGACATCACAAATAGGCTATATTGATACGTTAATGTCGACAATCTACGTTACCATATGCCAGATATACGTTTATTACCTTGTATTTTCTTTTAAATGTAGATCAACAATTTTTTTTTTTTTTTGAGTTTAAGATAAAAAAATTGTGTTTAAATTTTATATTCGTATTAGGTAAATGTTAACGTGTTTGAAAAATTCTTTGTTTTTGTGCTGCATGTCTAATATTCTGATAATGGTACCGTAGTTAATTCGGTGAAATAATTTTCACCTAATACCTAAAGTAAATGCTAATAATGAAGGTCTGTATACTGGTAAGAGCCCATTTCAGGAGATTGCATGTTTTATTTCTATTTAACCCTCTCAAGTTGTTGCAAGTTTGATTCGATTAATTTGCACACGCAAGTGTAATCTCTGAACGTAGGTATTTATCAGTTCGTAAGTATGATGAAATCAAAGATTATTGTTAGAATATATGTAGAGTATAAATGGTATATTAAACGGATTCGGTTTAAATGTAATTTGTGTTTCACACTTTGAAGTTTAACGGGTTGAAAGTTAAATACATTCCGTAAGTTTTATGATAAATAAATGTTTATAGTAAACGTAGATACTATACGTAATACGTATACCTTTCTTGAATGCTCATTTTTATATTTTTTTGATTTTGAGAATATTTATGTCATTTCTCGACTTCTGTTAAATATTTAATTTTTCAGTTAAATACGCGTTATTATAGCTAAATTTATGATTAAATTATTCAATTTTCGAACACATTTATTTAATAGGGTATAATTTAATTTGAATAATATTTTTTTAAGCTTAACGATAGATACAGCCACGAGCTCACAAATTTTAATTATTTTATACAAGTTCATATATTTTACTGCTATCCTATTATTATTACTATTTTTTTTTTTTTTTTTGACAATAATTATGTCAACAGTAATTAACTGAGAACAATTTTTTTAAATTTTAACTATTAATATTTTAATCAAATTATATAGCATTTTTATTCGAATCACTGTGTGAGTGTCAACTAATGACATAGCAAATTTCAATATTTCATTGTTCAGTGTAAACGTACATAGAATATTAGATGAATTTTATTCATTTTAGTCTTTTCAGTTGTCAAAAATTAGTGAATTTGTAACGATTCAATAGTTATAAATATTTAAAGCCATTAACTTTATATCGAACGGTATACATCAATTTTTAAAAAACGGTGAACGTAAACGTAAAATGCACATTTTCACGATTGTTTCTACTTTATGACTAATAGTCAACATTTTAAATGGTAAGTAATTTGATTATATTGTAACACATTTTATGAAAATTTCAACAAGATGGAAAATAGGTCTAAATTATTCTTTCAAATATTCTCCGTACAATTTTTTCACATCGTTAACTAAGATTTTAGAGAATTCACAAAAACAAGTCAGATATTATCATTTAAAAGTAAGATTTAAATATATATAAAACTCATGAAATATAGTTTCAAGTACTTAATATTACTCAAGCTAATGAGAATAACAATAAAAAATCCAACAAAAATAATGGTTAAGACATTTAATTATTTTTACCTGTAAACTATAATTTTGCAAGCAATGAATGTTTGTAAAATTGTTACAAATGTTAAATTAAAATAGGTATATAAGTAAATATTTAAAAAAATTATTGTAATACCGTTTTTTTCAACGTGATTAGAAAAAAAAATGTACCTAATTGTATTTTATTTATTAACAATGGATGAAATACGGATCAATGACTCAGGAGCTTTGCTTTTATAAAATTCTTAGGAGGTACCTCCCTGCGGATTTCGATGCTTACAGATTATGCTATAGGTATTTTTATTCGTTTACTCGAATTTTACAAATATATAAGTCAGTCGTATACTTGCATCGGATTTGATAAAATAAAAAAAGCAAAAAAAATAATCTGGAGTTCGAGTTTGGGTTCAGTTGCACAATACGCGAGGAGTTTTTCTAACAGCTATAGTGTTCAGTGAATAACAAATGTATTATTTCAACAACGAAGTAAACGTACAAAGAGAAACACTTATTTCGTCACGCACGCGCGTGACAAAAAAAAAAAGTCATAATTATTTCTTCTAGGGAATACTGCTATTTCAAACTTCAATCAAAGCCACAGTTATTATTGTTCAACCATAAAACTGCAGTGGAGCTCCTTCAAGTAATAATATATATGCGAACGTATCGTATAATACAATTTAGAATATTATTGTATGCAATATCCAAACTGCCATCGCAATAGTTTTATTTCAACATTATTATTATTATATTTTTTATTAAAGTTTTTTTTCTTCGGTGGCCATTACGTTTTATGTTTGTCTTTCTCGATTGAATTGTATTGTATTTTGTTTAATTTTTAGGAAACTAAGTAGTTTCATTACGTGGACTTGGGCTATATAATATAATATTAAATAAATTATGTAATACATTATATTTTTACCTATTTTTCATAATTCCTTTTAAAGGTCATATGTATATGATATATACATACTGGGTGATTTTTTTATCATTAAACATTCATTATTTTAAAATTAATTAAAATTTTTGTAAATATTTTCTACAGTAAAAATAAAACAACATTAAAAAAATAAAAATATTTTTAATATTTTAATTTTTTAAGTTTTTACTGTTTTAAATGATAGCTTACATTTTTAATTTAATATAAAAAATCAAAATTAGACGACAAAGATGAAAATTTAGAAAACTTTTTAAATTT